CAGCTGCAACAAGTGGGGGCACTCGTGCCTGGTGCAGGTGCTGCCACCTGGCATTGTGTGGCTCTGGCCAGTGCTACACATTGTGGTGTGGTGAGGAGCGCAGCCCAGCCAGGCTGCCTCTATTGCCAGGGTTCCCTGCCGCGCATGTGCAGTTTCCACACTCATGCACCACTAGAAGGAAGCCCCACGCAGTGGAGCCAGCTGCCTTTGCTGCCCCCTGTCACACAGGTCCTGAGACTCCACCAGAGGGGAGCCCCAGCCCCTGCTTCCCTGTGGAGTTCCAGGACCTGTACAGCAGGAGGTAGCAAAGACAGGTGGCTCCAGCACATACAGCTTACCTCCAGTGGCACGTTAGTGTGGAAGCTGCATATGCATGGCAGGAGCCCTGGTGACAGAGGTGGCCTGGCCAGGCTGTGCTCCTCACTGCAATGTGCAGCACTGGCTGGAGCCCTGCACTGCTGGGTGACAGCACCTGTGCTAAGCATGAACACCCTGAGCGCCCCTGCCTGCTGCTGCTGTCGCTGCCTGCGGGGGCTGTGAGCCATGGGGGGAGTGCATGGGGAGGTCCCCACACCCTGCCCACCCAAGCTCTAGCCCCACACTCTTGCCCAAATGCAGCTCCCTCCCAACCCTCGCCACTTCCCTACCTGCTGCCCAGAGCAAGGGAGGTGCTGGGGAAGCTGAGCAGGGCCCCTGCAGCTGTGGCAGCTGCAGCCCTGCCCAGAAGCTTCATGCTGGCCAGGCCAGGCCAGGCCCTTCTGCCCACAAGGGTGGGAGTGAGGCGCAATAGGGTATGTTGGCCGGGTGGGGGGAGGTGTATACATGGGCACCTCACTGCCACCCTCCTGGGCGGAAGGGGTGGGTGGGGTACAATTAGTTGATGGGCACCGCGGGCCAGATAAAAGTGTCTGATGGACCTGATCTGGCCCGTGGCCCATATTTTGGACCTAGATAATTAGCTAGTGCTCCAAGGGTTCACTTGATCATGAAAGACAGTGCAGGAAAGTTCAGAAAAGGGGCAACCAAGTTGCTTAAGTTTTGACTGAGGAATTTTACACTAGATGTCACATAGAGTAGGATTCTACCATTGTACATCAGGATTATTCTGGGAGTTTATAATTTATACTGAGGTACACTATTCAGCACAAGATAGAACAGACAGCAAATTTTCCCACTATGTTTTTTTTCTTTTTGTTCCCAGTTAAACAGAATCAGAAAACCTAATGCTTAATATTATGCTGCTCATAGGACTGGATTCTCCTTTGACTTTGTGCTATTTATTCCCAATAGTTTATCATACTTTAGAAGTTGGTAACAATGCTATACCTTTATCTGTTCCACAGGGTAGCAAGGCTGTCAACAGATGGAGTTAAGGGTGCTTTCCTGTCCTGGACTGTTAAATCCATCAATCAAGTTCTTGTTACAATCATCTATGCTAATAGTTTCACTGGACATCTTGGAGTAAGTGGCCTGGCCAGTGAAATCCAAGAGATCTTCAAGAGCCTTGGCATTACTTGTTCCATTCTGGTCCATAGAAACACCGGGCATCAGTTCATTCATGGGGGAATATTCTGGGATAGATATAAGTTCTTCTTTTGAAACTGGACTGTGTGAAAGACAAAGTAGGGAAAAATTAACAGAAGTCTTGTAAAATTTACTTTAAAAAACCAAACAAACCAAACAAAAAAACCCAAACACACTCAAGTGTAAAGGTGTAGCCTGACAGTCCTGAAGGGCTGCATTATCTATTCTCAGACCAGCTGCATCATGCTAAACCTTACACAGAATGACAGCACCTTGTATAGGAAAGAAAGTTATTCTTTCTCCTTGATCTTGAGGGTGACTGTTGTAGATATCTGTACTCTAGGAACTGGACTAACATAAATAATTCATATTAGTCTACCCAACAACAACAGGCTTGATCAAATTGATCACTCAGAGGTTAAAGCTCAGCATGCCACTACTGTAGCCATTGAGTTCCTTGTATTTACTGTTTGAATGTTTTTTCACAGAATACACATGTGTACCCAAGGAGATTTATACACCTGTCTGATATTATGAGTAGCAAGCAAAGTCACATTAGTGTCAGTATGTGATGTTTATAGGGTATCAAGTCAGGCTTGAGCATAAGCCTAGGAAGGATCATGGCTTAAATTCTGTTAATTATACGCAAAACAGATTTTGATGATGTATTTGATGCAACACCAACCATGTGGTATTTCAAAAGCTAACTTTACAGAACAAGTTACCAAAGCAAATGCAGACTATCTGCTGCTGAAACAGTGCTTTGCTGCTTTTAGTGCATTTGCACCAACTTAAATTAGCAAAGCATCTGGCACCACATATCATCATACTATAGCAGTGTATACAAGATGTATTTTGGCTTTTACTGACAATTCTTAAGGGGCACAAATGGATATTACAGTCCTACAAAGAATGAAAATATGACTGATTTATACTATTAATGGGAAATGAACATAATGTATTCACAATTCTACTATAATGTGCGTCTGTGTGCTTATGTGCGTGCATACGTCTGTGTGTGCGCATATTACACACACACACCCCTTCTCTAGTCCAAACATTAGAATAAAAATTTCTACAATTTTATTTTTCATTTTTCTTAACAATTATGAGTTTAAGGAGACAACAATTAAAAAACTATAATAAACGTGACATTTGTTTAAAATACAAAATAAGAAATTTTGCAGTTTGCTTCCCATAGCAACTGGGGTTTCAATTCTCTTGCTGCATGCAAATTTATCACTAAAATCCTATAATACTACAAAATCTGATGTTATTTACTTGTTGCCACATACTGGTGCTGAATGCTTTAAAAAAAAAAAAAAAGATTATTGAGAACGTAAATGTTTTAATCTATTCCATAGCATTATTCATAGGGGACAATGGTGTGTACACCATGGTTTTACAGTTGGTATAAATCACAAACTGATGACATTTAAGCAATATCTATAATACTCATTTGACAGCAATACGTGGTCAGAACGCTGAAGACTATTCTGAGGACTTAGATATATCTGCGTGCACTTGCAAGTCTGGACAGTGGGAAGGCTTCATTTATCTTTATAAAATGAAATGAAGTTGTGCTTTATCCTTCAGTTTGAAACTGCACTTGCTTCTTGACAGCAACTACCTGGGCATTTTTACCTATGTAAGAGGCGCAGCGCCGGGCACTTCAAAAAGCACCTGGTGCTGCGTGGCTTACAGTTGTATAAGCAGCAAAATGTGTGTCAGTGCACAGAAAATGGCAGTGGCACACGTTTGAACAAACACATATGGAAGGTGTTTTAGTTCAAAAGTGCACCACCGCATTTTCTGCGCACTGACTCACATTTCGCTGCTTATACAACTGCAAGCAATGCAGCACTGCGCATGTCAGCTTGCGTGGGGAACAGACTCGATTAATAAAGTCTGCTCTGACGCACCGGATCTCTGGCGCATCCAGGCACAAAAATGTATGTGTATAAATGTCCCCTGTTACTAATGGGAATACATGCCAAACAGTTACACAGGGGTTCAAATATAGAGATAGAGAGTTTGCAGAAAAGTAGATTAACAAGTGAAACTGCAGATGTTTGGAGGGATTGCAGATTTTGGGGGATTTGTTGTTGCTTTAAAGTTGTTTAAAACTTGTGTGATCTATATGCTGTGTACCTCACATCCATAGACTGAACCTCATCTGTTGAATCATCCATGCTGTTAGATTTCCCATCAATGGCATCCAGGTGAATAAGCCCTGGGACTGACTTAAGTCCATTAGCAAATACATCTTGAGGAAGTGTTTCAGTAGCAGCACCTTCTAAGCTTTTACTTTCCTGGCAGGTTTTCAGTCCATTGATCTCTACAAAAGAATCTCATTAGAAAAATGTGACAGTTGCAAGATTTTTAGATAAAAATCACAAAATGCTTTGAGTCATAGAAATCAAAGATGGAAGTAACCTGGCATGGTATCTTTTCAATCTACCTGCTGCTACAGAATTGTCCTCTACAATGTATTTTCATTTTTAAAAGAAAATTAATACATTACTCCTTTACAACATGCACTGAGCAGCCCCAGGGGGTGAAGTTAGAGACAAATTATACTTCACCATTTGCATTTACCATTTACACTCCACCACTTTGAAAGAACCGCACAAATATCCTGCAGCAACCTACAAGAAAAAGCCCCACTGATTGCACGCTCTTGGTTGTTACCTACCATCTCATACTTGAACCAATAAGAAGGATATCTGAACAATTATAGCCTAGACGTGACAAGGACCAGACCTTGAGAGAAACAGTCCCAAACTTACCCACCACCTCCCCTTCTCACCCTCCTGTCCTGCTCCTGGGCTTCAAACAATCCCCTGATCTTGCCCAACTCATCAGCACAAGAAAAACTCCCTCCTGATCAAGGGGCACCTAATGGGACCCAGCCCTGCCTTAACAATAAATGCAAGACTTGCAAACTTATCTCTACTTCCACAATCAACACTCTCCACAACAAAAGCATCAGAATCCATAGATGATACACATGTCTATCCCAGAAGGTATATCTCCTCCAGGTCACCAATGCCTCATGGAAACTATGTAGGTAAAGCAGTCAAAAACTATGCACTAGAATAAATGATCACTGAAAAAACAAAAAGGACAAAGACACTAGATCACAGATAGAAGAACATTTTCCACAGAAAAAAAATCACTCTGTCTGACCTCACAATTCTTCTGCTCAAAGGAACTCTAAGAAACACCTTTGAAAACTGCGCCTGGGAACAAAAAATCATTAAACTATTGGATGCTAAAAATCAGGGATTTAACAGAGATGACTTCATGATCCATAGCTGATACTTACTAATCTCTGCACTTCACAAGTGTTAATGGAACCTCCTGAAGATTCTTGTTTTCCCATTGTCAAGATTTACTGCATCTCTTGTCTGTTGGGTACCTGATTTCTCTTATATCCTGTTTTTATTTACATGTGGAATTTTACACAAGCTTTTGTTCCATCTGCTACTTAGGCCTGCTGCGTCTGCTTCTCAGAGACTTAAGGGAAAGTACTGAGATACCCAAAAGCTTATTTACATTTATCCCAACCAGGCAGTTGGTCCAATAAAAGATATTACCCACAAGAACTCTGGCCTCTTTAATATTTCCTAGGCCACAACAGCAAGAACATCACCTCAACAGTACTTCACCATCTGCAAGTTTTTAAATTTATCAGTACTTAAAATACAGATACTGTTCTTATCAAAACAAATTCAATGTAAGAGATAAAATCTGAAAAGTGCTAAGAAAGCTTGCCTAGTTTGGCTGGGAAGGAGGAATTTTGAACATGCAGAAATATGCAAACTAGAATAACTTATATAAAAGCTAATTTCAGACAAAATATAGAACAGGACTCTGTCATCAGAACAGTGGTCTCAGGCTTCTACCTAAATGGCAAGCCAAAGGCAATGCTCCAGCTTCTTATTCTTAATATTTTTCCATATAAATATATTAGTTTCTTTTCTGGATAAAAATGGAGCACATTACGGCACTCTACTTGAGGTTATGAATTTTTGTAAAGCATCAGCTATGAAAATGGGTCGCAGCAACTCAGTGATTCTCACCTGGTTGACTGAGAACAAGGGTTTTCAGTTGCTTTTCCACATTCAGCATTGATGGTGTCTCCAGTTTTGGCTCTTCTTTCTATAAACCAATAACATATTAACTGCATTAGATGAAAGGCTGTAATATTCAGGGAATCAAATGCATCCAAAACACCATCATTTAAAAAAACCTACCAGTAAATATACACAACTATTTTAGAAAGTTTTTACTCAATTCTATACAAGCATTAGGAACAGCAAAAGCTAGAGAAGAACCCAAGATTTTATCTTTATACTGCATCTATCCCAGCAATATTCCCTAAGCCAGGGTTGTCCAACTAGTGGCCTGTGGGCCCCATGCAGCCCACGAGAGGTTCATGCATGGCTCCTGCCAGAATCTCTAGGCTCCCCTTTCTCTCCTTTGACTGCTGTTTCCTGCCTTCATGAGGGAGCTGAGGGTGAGCCAGGCCCAGGGACTGGGGAAGAAGGGAAGAGGGGAAACCACGTTCACACATCTGCACAGCACAGCAGTGGAGGGGCATGCCATTTGGGCGTACAGTACAGCAGTGGGTGTGGGACACACCAGATGCAGCATGCAGACCCTGCTGGTGCAGCTCCCAGGGCATGTGGCCCCTTGGGACTTAGAAGTTGGACAGTCCTGCCCTATTCTGTCAGATCAGGTATACCAAAAGGACACGGGATCTTGTGAAGAGCCCACTACCCCCTTGGGAAGAAGAGGCACAGGGTAAATAATGGAGCCAAAAAGAGAGCAGAAGCTCAAGGGGTGGGGTAAGAGCCTGGTCTAAAGAGAATGCCAGGAAGGGGTCCAAAACTCACTGAAACAGATGGGAAATGCAGCACCCAGAGTGGGAGGGTACACTTTAATAAGCACATCTGTAAGAGTCTCTTAAGGAAACAGGCAGACAGTTTTCCCAAACTGAATCTTAATACAAGTAAAAAGCCAGGCACTATAGCTCTCTTGTTATTCCTACTCCTCCTCACAGAATTAACAGAGGGGCATAAAGAGATCAATGTGTTGACTGTCATCCTCAGTGGAAGAAGTACAGAGCACCAGCAAGGTTAATGGCAGCAGCATGCCACACTACCACCAGAGTGGTTCTGCCCATTTATGCCATTCACCGCTTCCAAAGCCTATGACAGCACCACCAGCCATAAAGTCAGAGTATTACCACAACTACAGTCACCTTTTCATTTTACAATTTCTCTGAAGCATGAGGGCCAGATCTTATGCCACCTTGGCAGCATCTAAGTACCTATATGCGAAATTTGTCCTCCTTGCTTGATTTTCTGAAAAACCATTTAATTGTCTACTGCTAGCTTTAAGACCAAGTCATAGAGGACACATCTCACTCTGTTGGCAATATGTCCCATATGCTCCTGCTTGCACATCTGAACCTTGAAAACATGGTGGTCACGTCAACCTGGGAGTAACCCCCTCTACAGTGCTCTCTAGACCTTGCTCTCTGGCATGGACAAGAGCTGGAGGGGAGCCCAGACAGACACACTGGTTTAGTTCCAGGTTTAGAGTGAGGGGGACTAGGTGGCCACAGTGTGCCCAGGAGCATCCTTGCCAGGCACACTGCAAAAGCAGGTGTAGATGTACCCAAACAACAGCAAAGGAATGAAGGGGAAGAGGAGAGCCCACCCACCTCATGCATCAATATTTTCCCAGGGACTAGAGCAGGGTAGCCTTGGACTGCACATAGAGACTTAGATGCCTGAAACAGTGAAATAAGATTTGGCCTTAAGAAAAAAGCATCTCTATGCAAAGCATTTACCCTACATGGAACTATCCTACAATCTTTTTTTTTTGTTTACTAGGATAGAGAGAGAGATACCTTTGCTTCTGGTGTGTCACTCTTTCTTGTTCTTTTCATTATTTCATCAATTCTCTAAAAATCAACATAAATCAAATCAGAGGGTTAGGAGACAGGCATGCTATTTAACTGGAATGAAAGTTTTAAGAGATTAGTAATGAGGAGCAGAAAGAAAGAAAGATTGATTTCCCCTAATGTCATGACCTCTTCTCTGTCTCCACTGGAAAAAGGGAGGATAGAGATGAGGAGAATACAGAAAAAGGAGGAGGAAAGAGAAACACGGAGCTATCTTTGACACCACAATTCCAGCAACCTGAATTTCTCTCATTGTGAAGATTAATAGACGAGTAATAAAAACAGTATTTGTGATTATGAGATGTGAGCTGTTATGCCCAGCTCCCAAAGGAGAAGCTTGTTTCCAAACATTAACTGAACACTAAGTGCTCAAATCTCAGATTATTTCTTCATCAGAGCACAAACTGAATACCATATTTTCTTGAATATAACCTGCACAATACCCACCAATTATCCCCAGCCCAGCTGGTAAAAATTGGGGTGTGCATAATATGTGAAAAACATTCCACAGTGTTGGAAATTTGGTCGCAGGGGAGCACTGTTTGAGAAAGAATCTCATTAGAAAAATGTGATAGTTGCAAGTTTTTTAGATAAAAATCATAAAATCCTTTTAGTCATAGATATCAAAGATGGAAGTAACCTGGCATGGTATCTTTTCACTCTACCTGCTACTGCAGAATTGTCCTCTACAGTGTATTTTCATTTTTAAAAGAAGATTAACAACATGCAATGAGAAGCCCCAGGGGGTGAGGTTAGAGAAAAATTACACTTCACCATTTGCATTTACCATTTACCATCTACAGTCAGGCCCTCAGATACCAGCGCATCAGCTCCAAGGAGAGTACTTGTGACACCCGTCTTGACAAACTGAAAACTGCCTAAAACCAAGCAAGTGCACTCCAGCAGGGAAATAAACTGTATCTCTGAAAAAGCCACACAAATACCTTGCAGCAGCCTACTATAACACAAGGAAAAAGCCCCACTGATGACACTCGCTTGGTTGTCACTTACCGTCCCACACTTGAACCGATAAAAAGGATCATCAAACAATTACAACCTGTACATGGAAGTATACTACTGAAGTATAGTATAGTATGTTCTCTGTCACCAAATTTCTGGACCCACTGGGATAACATGGTTGGGTAACATGGAGAATGTACAGTGCTAGGTCAAGTCCAGGCTGCAGACCTGGAGCCATTACATCAGGTTGAACCTGGCCTATGGGGTCAGTTTGAAGTCCCCATCCAGCATGTGGGGCTGGCAACGAGCTTATGAGCAGGTTTGGCTCCCTAACTACTGCTACTCGGATACCTACCCCAGGTAAGATCTTTTTTTCTTCACATGACCTTTAAAAACCAGGGTCGGTTATATGCAGGGCAGGGGTGGGTATTTGCAAGAAAATATGGTACTTGTAGAGATCTCCCTACTTTTGCTATCTATCAGCTCTTAAAATAAAAGATTCTCTTTTGAACATCTGTGCCAATTTTGGGGTGAGAGAAAGGAAGAACAGGGACACATTAAAATAGATGAAGCTACTGCTGGAAATATGTAAGGTACGGTTATTGTAAAACTCTACTTTTTGCCCTGTTAATTAAAAAGACATGTTTCTTCACTGTCCAAAGCATTATCTCCGTTTTAGTTTAGGTATGGTGTTCTAGTTCAAAAGCGCGCCGCCGCCATTTTTTTTTAGCACTGACGTGCATTTCGCCATTTATACAAATGCATACGATGCAGCACCAGATGCGTCAGTTCACATGCTCCACAGACTAGATTGAGTCTGCTCTGACGTGCTGGATTCCTGGCATGCCAGAGCAGACAAATGTTCATGTATAAATGCCTCTAATGTACAAAGTGGCTGACCCTGACTGAATCACATCTCTTCCCTTTGAGACTAATCATTTAAAACTAATCTGAAGCTACAGATACAAAAGGAGGCATTCTGTACATTAGCTAAAGAGTCCCATACTCTCTAGAGACTTTGTTGTTGTTCTCTCTCCGTATATCTTAGCAGAGAGGTGTGTATACAAATCCATCCATTTTCCCATATGAGGGGCAGCAGCAGATGCAAGGTGGCAAGTAGAGTCCTCCTCCTGCTGCTCTATACCCTCAGAGGCAAAGACAGTGGACAAGGTGTGTGCACAAGCATTCAAAAAATCTGTGAGAACGCCAATGTTTTTGTTCTCCTGGTAGAAAAACCAATCAGGGGAGCACTATACAAACATCACAGAGGCTGTCTGGGTGCTCCACAGACAGCCTGTGCTGTTGATGTCACACAACTGGGGGGGCCCTTGTGCATGCATCCAATGTGCTTTGTGGGGACCCCTGGCTGGCAACACAGCTGACAACAGCTGAGGTTTGGCCCCGACTGGCTGGCTGCCCCTAAGGACCGCACCTCCCTGCCCACAGTACCCCCTCTCTCTTCTCCAGCTGTTAAGCTTTGAGACAGGAGACCCAAAACATATCTACTCTCTTTTCAAGCCTGTCAATTTTCCCTCCAGCAGCCCACAATGAATCCCTACCCCTCCTGGCACCAGCTAACAGACCCAGTTTCAGCACAGATTGGCTGAGTGTAGTCAGGGTCAGGTGCTGCCGATTTGGGTTTGGTTGGGTCAGGTTCTCCCGCTCACTCAGGGTGGCAGGGCAGACAGCTGCATAGCCCTGGGGCTGTGGAGAGGGGCTGGGCTTTCCCAACCTTGAAGCTGTGAGTGGGGAGCGATTTGTTGCATGCTGGGTTGCAGCAGTAGAGTGCAGTTCGAACCACAAACTCAGAGCTGTGGGGGATGCTGGACAGCACTGCACTTTTTATCGGTACTATAAGCATGCATGTGTTCATTCATGCGTGTGTTGAAACTAGTGGGGGCCACATCTACCTCATTGGAGTCAGTACATTTTTCTATCAAGACCACCATTTTTGGTCTGGTAGAAACGGTATGCATCTTTGTACACCTAGAGTATCTAATGGGGAAACATTGATTCTACCACTAAAAACATACCATTGGTATGCACCTAAGATTGCTTTTGCCCGGCAGATACACAATTTTTTTCTACAGAGTACAAATCCACTTCCTCAACTAAAATACCACACTGAGCAAGCTTCAGAACAAACAGACAAAAAACCACTATTGGTGAGTGTTAACCATTACTTTGCTTGTAAGGCTTATCCCTTTCTTTCCTCCTTGTCCATTTTGTCTACCTAAATTGCAAGCATTTCGGGGGTAAAGACTGCCTGGTCTTGCGTGTATAATGCCTGGAAAAACAGAACACTATTCTTAATTGACCACTATGTGATACCATAGTAAATATGATTAAATAAAAATAACTATCAAGTCTGCAACAGTTTACAGATTAGCAAAGTATAAAGAAAATTAAACTGGAATTTTTTTTGGGGGGGGGGGGGTATTTTTTTAGTAAATTAGAGCTAGCTTATGGATACCTTCATTTAAACCACAGGTATTAATACTTTAAAAATGGAAGTAAACACCTACCTTCTTTCTCTCCAGTCTTTCTTGCTCAATCTGCTGCATGATTTGTTCCCTTTCTAGACGTAGGTGTTCAGCTGCCTCTCGAGCTTTGGCTTCAGCTTCTTCTCTCTAATCAAAATGTTTAAGTCATAAGAGAATTGTTTATTTTAGGCAGACAAGCAGATTCTATAAAATATTGTGAGACCTCCCCAATATATACTGCTGGCAGAATATGGCAATATATACTGTTGGCAGACTATATCAGAAATTTTCCACCCAGCTCTACACAGATCCCATTCTAAAAGGCAGCCACTGAGGGCATCCCTGAGACAGCATTTTCCAGACTACAGTTCATCTTTACTGCAATGAATCACTGCTCTCTATTTAACCTAAGAAATAATAGGCTTCAAGAAAACATAGAAATTACTCTTTATTAATTGTTCCATACTTGTGGTTTTTTAAACATTTAATAAACAAGGTTGAGATTAATTAAAAAAATGAAGTACACATTGCTCCCAGTGCTTCGACCAGTTGTTGGTTCCTGGCACTTTTGAAAAATCAGGCCCATTGCCTTTAGGGAAACTGTACTTTAGATATCTGCCTCCTTAACACCTGCCCTTGAGAGATGCATCATATTCTGTACCTGTTTCTCAAGCTTGGCTTGCATCTCTTTTTCCTGCTTTTCCTTCAGCATGCATTCCTCCTCAGCTTTCTTCCTAACTTCCTCTTCTGCCTTTCTCCTGGTCTCTTCCTCTTCACGTTTTCTTTCCCCCTCCTTTTTACGAGCTTCTTCCTCTAGACGAATTCTTTCCTCTTCTGCCTTTCTTTGCTGCTCCTCTCTCTCGAGCCTTCAAAAATAGCAGCACATTTAGAAGTGAAGCACCTATTGCACCTTGTTTAACAAGGATTATGCTGTATTGACGGTAGAGCAATTGGTCTGGCACCAAATAACATATGTTTTATGGAAAGTGGAGGCACTGGCCACAACTTTTTAATTAGGGATACAACCAACTTCTAAGATTTATTTCTATCTTGTATTTCACAGAAACAACACTCCCTTTTGAACAGTGACATAACTAACATTAATTAGAACAAAATGTTCTTGTTTTCTCCAAAAGTAGCTTATGCAGAATTAAAAAATGTTCCAGCTTTAAATAGTTACAAATAACCACAATTCCACTGTGCCTTATTGACTGTTTTACTTGACCCAGGAAAGCAATTATTTGTATGCAGGCAAATCCCCACCAAGGGGAGGATACCAATCAGGCCACAGTGGAATAGACAGACATAAGGGAGACTACAGGTCTTGGGGTGCAGGGCAGGGGTCCGCCTTGCTCCACACTGGAATAGGGCCAGAGCCATGATGGATCATAAGTAGCTGGGCTGCTGGGGAGGGCGCCAGGAGGAGGCTGCAGAGTGCCAGCATGGGGGCAGAGGTGGCAAGCAACTACTGAAGATGTGACTTCACCCCAGACCATAGGTAAGGGCCAGAACAGAAGCTGCAGCAGCCACGCCCCCCCCATCCCGAGCCTTGTACTCAAATCCAAGATGAGGAGCTTTCTCTCCCTGTTGAATATGGGGAGAGGAACGTCATCTTAGATTTGAGTGTATCTCTTCAATGGATCAGGTTAAATGCCTAGCATGTGACAGAGTGTGAGCTAAGCATAGTACTATTAACTTCTTCAGTGTTAAAGTTAGCCAAGTTGTGGCCTGCCATTGAGATCTTATCCCCACCTGTCTTTACCTGCATGTGATCAATTCGGGAAAGCATGTTTCCTAAAACAATAGTACAGAGCACTAGGGGTCAAGAAAGCAGAGGTTTGTATTCATTAGCTCCCCAGGAAAACTGGAGCTGAAGTAAACCCCTAACTATGGAACTGCTTCAAGTCTTACACAGGTAAGCTGATTTAAGAGTCAGCTAAATATAGCACTTTGTTATATCAAATATCTAAATGTCTGGCACCCTGCCCCAGTAAAACTTCAAGGAGGTTTGAAACTAAACTTACTGTCTCTAGTAGGAATACCCTCAAACATGCCATGTGGCTCCGCACAATACTCCAATCCCAACCAGAAACAGGGTAGCCACATCAAGTAGTGCACGAGATGGAGCAATTAGCATGCATAGGTGGTAATTAGCTTAGTTACTAAGCAATGCTAATTAGCTGTCCTCAACATAATTAGGCGTGAACCTAACCTCTTGCAGCTAAGTTTCTTACGGTATCTGGGCTACATTGCTGTCCTCAGAGCTCTTATTCCCACGTGAAACTTTACCATGAAGCCAAGGGTAAGGTAGTAATGACAGACAGGTAAGGAGCTAGAAGGTAGTCACAGTCTGTGGGTGGTTGCCCAGTCTATGAATATACCATTCAAACTAGAAAGAGTTGAGGATGCTGCAGTTGCTGCTATTCACTCCCCCAACCACGAGGGAATCCAGGTGACAGAAAGGCAGCAGGACTGCACTGAGATTCTTAACAGTCTCTCTTTTGGACAGTTGCTTAGCAACACTGAAAATGCTTTGAATTGAATCCCATTCAGTCCTTCCAGGCCAAAAGGTATCTCTATGCTGCAGCCTGCAGGGTACACACAAAGGTACTCAATCTAATTTCAAATGAGCAAAAATTAACCCACGCTGACTCCATGCTGTTACAGCTAGACTGCTTCTGATACTGAAACTAGCTCATTTAAGGCCAGTCTGAACATCTTTACCAGACACTGCAGTCTGCAGTACAGACACACTCGGAGGCTCAAGGTGGGTTGAGAAGGTAAAGCCGTGCTTCCCACACTTTTCCTGAGTATGACCCCAGTTATGATCATATTTCCTCAGCATGGTCCCTCACTCCCAAACTGCAGCCTCCCCCCACTCCAGATGCCCCTCACTCCCAACCCATAGTCCCCCACCCCCCGCAGATGCCCCAAGGCCAGGCCCCGCAGGCCCCAAACACTGTCCCCCACCCCGCAGCACCCAAGCCCCAGCTGTCACCTGTGGGATGTGTTGGCTGCTGTGGCCGGGGAGGAATATGGAGCCCGCCCCCCTCCTCCTGTCCCCTTCCCAGTGGGGGACATGCCAGGACATCCCAGTGAGTGGGGGTGACCCAGATTGGGAGAAAGCACTGCACTGCCACCAAAGCTGAGGCACCTCCTGCCCGCCTAGCAGCAGTAGGGTCACAACTCCATGCTGCTGCCATGCCTCACCTTGGCAGCCCTGGCAGTGCAGCACCCCCTCCCACACTGGGCCCTCCCATGGGCCGTGGAGGTGGCTCCTGTACAGAGCTGGTCTGGCCCAGCTGCAGCCCCACATCTCGCTATGGTTGCAGAAATCTCAGGGGCATGTTCCTCCCCACCACATTGCCTTGGCCCCTGCTCCCCTCTGGCACATTGCTTGGGCTCCCTCACCCCCTGCCACATCACCTGTGCCTTCCCCTCCGCAGGGAGCTGCAGGAGCTGCTTTCCATGGCTCCGCACACATGCATGCGGTGTCCCCTGCCTCTAATCACCCTCCTCCACCTCCCCCAGCCCCAAGCAGCCCCTTGCAGGCTGGAACTCTGCCAGTTTGAAAGAGTTTTCCACCTTTAAAGGAGAAATCCATGATTTTATCCATTCAAGGAAAAAATCTGGATCCCTGTTTATCACGACCCCATCTGCTGACATTCCAACTCCATTTGGGGTTGCAACTTACAGTTTGGGAACCACTGAGGTAAAGTAAGGAAAGGAAGAGGATCCTCAGGGCTCTTAAAGGGATATGCCCTACATTTCTATTTCATCAGAGGTAAAAGTGAAATATACTAATGAGTTGCATGGGCTAAATGAAGGCCTAAAGTTAGGTTCCAGAGGAGATGAACTGAATCTCAGGAAAGGCTGAGTTTCAGGCAACTCCCATAGAGGAAGAGAAACTTCCATTGTCTTTCTGACTGCATTTGTCCAATACTTCATATAAACAGACCCATGGCCTAAACTTTTGCTTCTGGGTGCTAATAACTTACTATATTACTGCTAACAGCTTTGAAGATCAAACAAATATACCTTTCACGCTCTTCTCTTTCTTGTTTCTCTTTTTCTTCTTGTTCTTTCTGCAGGCGAGCCTGACGCCTTTTCTCAGCCAAAATTTTTGAAGCTTCTTCTGCATCTGTAGTCCCTGCCATGAGCTTTCCTGGTGGTGAATTGTGGTTAGAATATTTGGCAGGAAGTAAAAGAAAACATAAAATACAAATATATATAAATGTTACATCATATCTTCAGCAACTACCTTTATCTTTTCACTCAGACTCCTATCTGCCCATTCACTCATCTCATAAATCCAGGTTTTGCTTTGCCCTTCTATCCATTTTCTACATCCCTTGTGCACTTAAAGCTTAGTGGGCCACTCTATTTTGTATAAGGTTTATGAAGGCCAAGTCAATAAAAAGCCACTGAAACAGCCAAAGCCAACCCGAGCAGGGTGCGGGGCCCAAGGCAAAACAGCTCATGCGGGGCCCCACACCAATTCTGTGCACCCAGGACCTGAAGAAGCTGTCGCTGCCACCATCAGTGGTGGAAGCAGGGCGGTGGTGGCAGTGCAGAGTCACTGCGGCCGCTCCGTCCAGCTCCGCAGGGCCCCCCAAAGCACAGGGCCCGGGACAGTCGCCCCAATTTGCCCCCAGCTAGAGATGGCCCTGGAAACAACTATAGAAATATTAAGATTAATATAACAACTTGATTGTGTAGTGCGATTTTAGATTATACCTATTTTAGAGATTTTGTTGACTCTTAAAAAAAAAAGAGGTACACAATATTTCAGACTGTTCTAATTACTACAATCAAAGTAGCACTTACTGTATTATCTCAACTGAACTTGGCTGTCCTCAGGCAAAGGAAAGCATTTTAGGGAAGTACCAGGCAGAATAAGTTTATGGGGCAGACAGGTGCTCATTTTTTCTAGGCGATGCTAGGTTCAAATGATTAGTATAGCTCAAGATGAAGCATTCTCTTTAGAGTGAAAGAACAGATTTATTTTCAGTTGAGCAACCCAAAAATAAATGCCACGCAAGCCATACGCTGCCATTAAAGCAGAGACCTGTTTTCTGAAAATCTTGATCCATGAGATGTCCGTGGAGCCCAAATGTTTGATTTGGGCTCCCCATTTCATATTAATTTACAAAGTTCGCAACTATGGAAATTACGTAACTCATGATTTTAGTAAATACTGTGTATTCAGGGCAGATCTAGGGTTTTGAAGAAAGGGATGCAGATCATCACACTGTTGCATATAGCACAATACGTATTTTTCTCCAGTTAATAAGAAGCTAGAAGCTTTAGTAATATGGTAGGGGCCCAGTGCTATATTATTTAGTTTAAGATCAAAGCAAAAACAAATATAACTTCACTGCAATGTGAATTTGCTATATCACATATTATATATAGAAGCAAAACAAACTAGGCAAAAAAATCCAAATATGCTGTTTCATTAGTCTTGTAGCCATTAGAATTAAATATACATCACTTTAAGATTGAAAAAACCCACATCTTGATGCTCTAGCATCTTGACAGTGAATCCAATGTTATACTGAAAATTATTTCTATACCTGAGTTACTCTTTACCAAAAACTTTTAACACTTTTATACCTGAGTTAACATTTTCAGCCAAAGTTAAAAACAGTCTGCAGGGCTGTGAAATGGGGGCTATATTACTAGGACCCATTAATAGACAGCAGAATTACAGAAGAAAGCCTACCCTGATTAGTGGAATATCAAGACCATCAAAAAAGAGAGAAGGCTGCTAACACCTCTACGATGATGAGTTCAGAAGAAATCCAATAGATTATAATGAACCATGAAGTCAAGTGATTCCCTCACTGCTGCCTGAATAGAAATGTTAACACCACTGCCAGGCAGTTTTTCTTAAACCTTGGGTGGACCAAGAATAAAGAGGGATATGACCATACCACTGCCAGATCTGCCCCTGATTTATAAGTTTATAAATCCCCTTACAGAAAGAAGTGATGTTTGAACACCGAGGTAGCAGCAATGTGCTCAAAAGCTTGTCTCTAAGACCACATATGTAGTTGGGCCAATAAAGATATTGCCCCCAGAAACCATTTCCTCTCCCTTTTATGGAGAGGATATTCTTGTTTAAAAGCAGGTGTGACTGCATTAGGTTAAGGCATATCCTTGTACCAAAACTCACCTTCACTGCTTTCAGTCTTTCCTGTAGAAGGCACATGTTTCTCAGCAGTTGTGTGGCCCACTTCTTCAGCACGAGATCCCTGGGCTTTGTGGTAAGCAGTGTTCTCTTTCTCCTTTTCTGCTTTCTTTTTAGGAGTCTCCTGGCTAAGATTAGAGGTGCCACGGTGCTTCACAGGAGAAGCTGGAAATTGTTTAGCAGTTTTAGGAGATTGTGGATAATTTTTTGCAACTGTCCTGGGGAGAAAAGAAAGGAAAATTTCACATACCGTACAATTATGTGATTTAGTATGACATCTTTATAGATATTTTCTACTTTCTTCTTTTGTCTTTGTATCTCAAGCCAGTCTAGAGGTGATACTCCCCTCTATGCGACATTGGTCCAGCCTCATTTGGAGTACTGTGCCCAGTTCTGGCCACCGCACTTTAAGAAGGATGTGGCCTGCCTTGAGAGGTTCAGAGGAGGGCCACCCACTTGGTTGGAGGGCAAAAGGGCAGGCCCTATGAGGAGAGGCTGAGGGACCTGAACCTGTTCAGCCTCAGCAAGCGGAGGCTGAGGGGGGATTTGGTGGCTGCCTACAAACTCATTAGGGGAGATCAGCAGCAAATAGGAAGAGCCCTATTCTCCCCCCAGCAGCACCTGGGGTGACGAGGAACAATGGCCAGAAGCTGCTAGAGAATAGGTTCAGGTTAGAGATTAGGAGGCACTATTTCACTGTCAGGGTAGCTAGGATCTGGAACCAACTTTCTAGGGAAGTGGTCCTCGCTCCTATCTTGGGTAAATTCAAAAAGAGGTTGGATGAACACCTGCCTTGGGTCATGTGATCCCAGCGTGTGCTCCAAACAGTGGCGGGGGGTTAGACTAGATGATCTATTCAGGTCCCTTCTGACCCCTAACTACTATGAAACTATGAAACAGTATGTTGTACTATCAAAGCAGTGAAAAAGTTTTAAAAGATTAGTGGCAGGGAGGATATATTTTTCCAACAGGAACAGCATATCTAATTACTGACTTGTATATATTACATACATATGCCTACACAGCCCTGCATCACTACTCCATAAGAGACAGTACATGGCAAACTTGTCTGGGTGTTTATTATCATCTCCACTAGGGACTGATCCACTAGAGTTCCACTTTCAGTTCATATCAGAGAGGTCTCCTTATTTTAAATTAAATCCATGGAGTTAGGGTTTTTTGCCCAGCCCTCCCATCTTGGGTATTCCCAAAGGTAAAGCTACTGTGCCATCATTTTAAAATGGCAATGTTACATATTCGTGCATTTAAGACAAGTATAAGATCTGTATAAATATGTCAACAGCACCCAAGATGTAGACTGGGAAGGAACATCTGCAGTAATTTATTCTGCTTTGCTGGAGAGACTGCAGTGATACAATTCTTCCATAGTACAGGGAGGGGCCTTCATTGCATCTGCACTGTTGCTGCTTGAATGCAAACAGTCAAATCAGGTTCTGTAACAGGAAATCTAAGCAGGCACATTTAAATGCCTATAGAATATTTTGAAGAGGAAAGGCATACGATTTACTAGCAAATAATACCATTTTTCACAATTATAACTTAATTTCAAACCTGGATAACCTTCCACAAGTAACCCCAGGATATCTAATGGCCTATAATCAGTTCTTATAGCCAAAATGCCATGTTTTTTCAATTTTTCCAGGAAGTCAGAAATTAAAATACAAGATAAATTGCGCATGCTGTTTGGTCTCTGTCTTACTACAATAGTTGCTTTTCAGTAGTGTTTTGTTTTCTAAAAATACATAAAACATGACTGTATACCAAGGTAAAACACATCTAAATATTGACCGAGAGTTGCCTACATTTGATCCAAATCAAATCAGACATCACCATTCAATCAGTCAAGTTATTTGACCACCAAGCCAATAACAGACTGGATACTACACACTCAAGTACTGGAACTATTGAAATAGCTATACTTGTGTCAGCAGTGATGACAGTGCAAATAATGCATTTTGGTTATAGCAGCCTGCTAAAGATCCATTTATTAAAATATACATATGCTACACACACACACACACACACACACGTATGTATATAAATCAGGGCTTGAGCAGTTAGAATGGAATGGAAATGGAAAGATAATAGACATTTCCTGCCTCATAGAATATTAAGGAAAATAGTGTATTATCTTTAAAAACAGATGTTATTTATATGACACATATTAAAAGCTTATATTAAGAGACTATTATCTATAGAACATTAACCCTCTGTGGTTATACAGATAATATGAATATATGGAGTATATGAATAATGTAATTCATACTTTTATGTATACAATATACAGTTTTATAGACTGCAATATATTTTTATAACCATACACACTCCCAGGTCAACACTAAGTATTGAAAATTTAAACTAATTATGAATGACAGAAAATAACAATTAATTTGGAAGCCTCTGTGAAAATTGAACTATGATACAACAAGATACAGCACGACCAGTACACTACGATAATAGAAACAGCATGTGGAACTACCATTAGGCAAAGAGGCTGAAGGGGAGACTGGACAATAGTTTAGAGCAGGAGGGTTCTATCTGCAGCCCACAGGCCAGATTTGGCCCATGGTGCCATGTCAACCAGTTTGCAGGGCTTTTTCATGGGTCTGGAAATCTGACAGTGGGGGAAGGGTGGTACTGCTCCCCTGCTACCAAATCTCCAGACCTGTGGGGAGCCTCCAACCCTGCGCTCTGGATCCCACACCTGATCCCAGCGCCCATGGGATGGGTGGCACTGACCCCAGAGCCGAATCCCCATGCATAGAGAGGGGGTGGTTTTGGGCCCCCAGGACCCAATCCCAGTGCAAGGGGGCCAGAAGGGGGTGGTACTGTCGTCCTGAGACCCAGTCCAGACATGAGGGGGCAGTATTGGTCTCCTGAGACCGAAACCCAGCAAGTGGGGCAGGAGGGGGTGGTGCCAGGCTCCAGCACCCAATCCGGTTCACAGACGGGTCCTGCCCAACTCATTTGGCCCACAGGGCCAAAATGTTGCATCACTAGTCTACAGGCAATTACAGCTGTGTGGAGACAAAGAGCAATCAGACCAATGTCTTTTTGCAGATCCGTGGGTTATAGACAGTCCCCAAGAAAGTTAATTTTTTAAAATAAGGTTTCTAAGTGATCTCCATTCTCTTGCATAATTATTCCATTTCTGGGAACACCAAGCCCTCAAAATACAGAATGTCTTGTGAGAGGCAATATACATACAGTCAATACACTGATGATGTCAAATTAACAAGGCCAGCAAAAGCCTGTTACATTAAGCAGAGTCGATGATAAAAGGAGTTGCACAGCAGGTGATGGTACACGATGAAGAAGGGCACAAGATGCAGCAAAAGTTAAAAGACCATCTGCCTTCTGAATATCCACAAAACATGCTTACACATATTCCAATTGCTTCACAAAGGGTGGCGCCATGGCTCTAAATCTGAAGGGGCTACAATTTATACCCTACTAAATCTGTATATTTTTGTGAGGTTATGCTATGTCCAAATCTGATGTTTATTTAATAGCAAACATAAGAAATAAAACAAAAACCATAAAAATATATTACGGTAAAAAAAAAACCCAACAAAAATTATACACTAGTTATAAAAAAAAACAAAAAACTGGGAGAAATTAATCCCCACTCCAACCCCCTTTCACTGCTGTTAAATTTCCCCAGGAGATCACTTAAATGTTTGATATGAAGTGGTTTGTGACAATTTCCAGAGTAACAACAAATGGAGAGGTCTTTTGCATTCTCATGTACAGAAGATAGCCACTGATGATGAAAGCTCTGATAAGGGCCAGAATGTTACATCAAGAAGAGTGATTACATCTCAGAATGGGATGTATTTGGTAGCTGTGTTGGTCTGACACAAAAAGAAATGCAAAAATCTAGAACTCTTGATTCAAAGATGATACCTTTCATTAAACCAACTAGGAAATTGCAAAAAATATATATTTTCATGCAAGCTTTTGGGCTCAACGCCCTTCATCAGGCTCTGGGAAAATTAAAGATGATAAAAAGTTCCCATAGGTAGGAAATAAACTTCATTTTTGCACAGAGGGAGCTGGAAATGGAAAACAGGCCCCTCTGGGTCCATGAGAGTGCCTCTGTGAGTTGTTCTGAGCTGCTCTTTGTTATTTCAGGATTCCTTCCATGGAGGTGGCAGATGGCAAGCAGGGAGGTTTAAAAATTTCTTGTTGTTCTGCGCTGGAAACTGAGGGCTGGAGTAGCCACAGGCAGATGTGCCTGAGTGACCACAGTAGCTACAGCATGATATTTCCATGGTTGGAGCATGTCTGTGGAAACCAGGTGGGCAGGATGTGCTTAGCAGCATCCTGGCCAGAACATGCTGCTACTGCACTGCAGACTTCATCTAGACTGGCCCAAAGAGGGGGATGCCTATCCAACCAGCTTCTTTCATAACCTACTCTCTTAGCAAAATTTAGCAATGACACTTTCCCTTTTTGTTCTTTATTGCATCTTGACCTATACACTTTCATTCTGATCTCTTGTCCAAATTTCACCTGGGCTGGAATAGAAACTATCTGCAAGTTTGCTGTTTTATCCAGCTGTAAAATACTATGCATGCCTAGGGTAAGCAAAGAAAATAATTAAGTATATAAACTACATAAAGAAACTCTTTTAGCTGATAGAAACCCAGATGAATATTAATTCATATTCAATATTTTAGATACAACCACACCTGTATTTCATAAAATAAATGATAAAATAAAAGATTGACAGTACTATATTTCATACCATGTAACAGAAGATATTATTTGGCAGCCAGATGCTCTTTCAGATTCCATTCCCCAACTTCTTCAAGTTTTTGGATCCCATTTTGTTTATTTCTGAAAACATTTCTGGCAAGTTTTCATTTCAATAGTTGTGACAGGAGAAGAGGAACAGTCATAACTAAGGATGAGCCATTTTTAACATTTCCACAGCAGTAACTGTACTCTAATAGAAGGATGACAACAGGTTTACATCAAAGAGGTTGGTAGGAAAAAGCTTAGTAACAAGCAATTACATCTCTTGATCTACTTTGGAAAATATGACAGGAGAAATAAACCATACTGGTGCCAAAATGAGCTAACAGTTGTGTTATCAAACAATCCCTACTTTTAGGGCTGCTTTCTGTTGCCTGGTGAAAGAAAGATGCTTTAATTGTTTTGATAGTTGCTAAAAGCCAGAAGCTAAAGCTAT